TGCTTATTTCAGGCATAACCACTTTAAGCTAAGCTATTAGTGCCTGAAAGAACATCTTAAAGTGGTTATGCTTGAAAGCTATTAGTTAGATGTTGGACATAACTACTAATAGCTTACCCAACATCTAAATTAGCTAAGCTATTATTGGGCATTAGATGATGAATAAATTTTTAAGAGGACTTTGATTGTGATTTTAAAATGTATACATTTTTCATCCACACACAATCGACTTTCTCCAGTGGTGCCCGGATATCCTTCTTTGTGCGTCCCTGCAGAGCACAGTTGGCCTTCTTGCATTGCTTCTATCTACTATGAGCAGAAAAATGAACTTTCCACTGTAGACGTAACCCGAGGTAAAATAACAGCACATATTCTACAAGTACAACAGAAATATGGGAAAAATATATTCATCAATATAATCTCTAAATTTTTTCCATTAACAGAAAATAGTACCTGGCTGTCAACGATCCACCGCAAATACTTAAACCATTTGTCTCCCGAGTCGTTGCAAAAGCCACTAGAGTAGTATTCCACGAGCAATGAAGCCATGTCCTCCAAGGTGTCATCTTCTTCGCACATAATCGAATGAAGTGCCAAGGTATTCAATAGCTCGTCTTCCTCCTATCCGGATTCAAAGGAGTGTTGGACGCTGAGATGCCTTTAGAGATACTTTCCTACAAAATTTTCTTCTCCAACTTTCTACTTATTCTGAGGCAGTGACAACGATTCCTTCTTATGTCCTGCTGCTGCTACATCATGGCCGGAATTATTGGAACTACCTCATTCTCTGCCATGGACAATATAAACCCTAATTTTCCTAATCACTAGCAATTCGCCTTCCGACTCCATTTATGGAGCAATTTACCCTCCACCTTTACGTATTGCAAATACCCTAAGCCCCCCTTCAAACTAGCTTTAAAATTTGTTAAGTACAAGCATGAACATGTTCTGATCCAGAAACCAAAAGCATTCTTATGTGTTCACAATCTCTAAATATATTCTAAAAAATCTTTCAGGTTTTTCTTGTGGCCAAAGGCTTTGTGATGCAAATAGCTAGCCTGTTCGCTATTCGTCACTAAGAAATGGTCAATTGAATTATAACCATTGGACCACCATTTATCCCTAGAACTCAGTTTTTGCCGTTTCAAAATCTATCTCCGAAGTGCTATCTTTCAAGATGGAAGGTTAGTTGCCTTTTTACAGTTATGTTCAAAATGTTAGGTAAAAGCTTTCTTTAGTAACTACTAAAACCTTTTCCAATAATATTAGGTGATTTTTTGTAACAAAAAAGTTTTTGTCCGTATAATTTTCATTCGAATATAATTTAGTTTTGGTTTTTAAGTACAACAGTGTAATCATTTTCAGGATCCTCAAAAAGCTATAGATGAATTCAACTGCTTTGATCCAAAAGCAATTGAAAGGAAAATTTACATCCTCTTTTCCCATGATGAGATTCCAGAAACTTGAGATGGTAAGAACAGCCTAGATTTGATTGATGATTCTCTTTGTCCCTCGTGGATTACGGAGTATGATCTAATATTTTATGGAACTTGGTATGAGAGAACTGAATTCAGCACTGCCTTAAAAGTGCCTTTTAGGTACGCAAACAATACAATATTGTGATACTACCACTCAAAACAAAAGAGCTAAACTGACCAGAATATAAAAGAGCTAAAAGAGCTACTCTATTTTTACTGATGTCTTGACCTTAGTTTGGTTAACCTACTTTTTTTCAAGTCACTTGATGAAAATGTCAAAATAGTAAATCAACAAATCAGAGTACTGGCTCTGATGATAATTACTGGAAAGGATCATTTCCTAAAGTTTCCTGGTATACATGATTACATACAGAATGAAAGAGTGAACAAATTTGTTCCGGATTTGGAGATGAAATATTTGCCCGAGGGAACACACTTTGTTTAGGAGCAATTTCCTGATGATGTGAATGACGCAATCTTGACCTTCATGAGCAAACATAGTCCGTTGTGATCTATAACGAACTATTTTGGAACTATGTTTTGCTTTGGAATGTTAAGATGTATGAAATGCGTCTTTGGGATATCATTTCAGTTTGTTTTATGTACTTTCGTGATCACAAAAATCCCCTAATGTGGTAGGAACGGTGTTGGAATCAACTGGCTAAAAACGAATTTTGTACATTAGCATTAGTATCTTAATTCGTACACTTGATTTTTCCCTAATTGTTCAATTCCCTTTGTACTTTTTTGCCCCTTCTTAACTTCTGTCGATGTAACAATTAACTAGAGTAATGACCGATATTCATGTTGGCTGTCCAATTTGGGTTGCAAGATTTTCAAAAAAAAAAATTTCAAATTTTGTTTTGCTTACATCATAAACACAATTTTCAACCACTTTTTTATCTCATATACATCACATCACAAAAAATGCTACAGTAATTATTTCAAATAAATATTTCAAAAACCTTCCCATCCAAACAAACTTATCAAGGTTGCTACTTGCATAGATTGTGTTAGCAATGTTAGAATCTTCTTTTTTTTTTCTTGATTCCAGATTCATTTTTAATATGTGAAAGTTGAGCGGCATTGACTGATGACATGTTACCTTTTTTGCTAACATTTTTGTTGACATGTTACCTTTTTGCTTACATTTTTGTTCAGCTTGACTGGATTTCGAGGCGTTTACAGCAATAAGATTGGCGAAATTCTGTAAATATTGCGGAAAATAGAAAAAACTGGAGAAGTGATGTTGAATGAGGAGTTGTGATGATTGAAGGGTCGCGCGAAATTGAAATTTACTGCTACCAAAAAAACAGCATTTTTTTTCTTTTTTTTTTTGCGATGGACAAGGGAAATTTTTTTTATTTTGGTAACATGCTTCGCCGCATGTAGGGTTGCAAACAAACCGAGCCGCTCGCGAGCGACTCGAGTCAAGCTCGACTCGAGCTCGAGCTGGCTCGAGTCGAAATCGAGCTCGAACTCGAACTCAAAATATTAAGCTCGTGCTTGCGAGCTCGAGTATATATATATTTTTTATTTTAAGTATTTTTTTTTATTTTAATAGTAAAATTACATATATATCCTTAATATTTTATTATTTATTAAGAAAAAATATTATTTTATTTATTTTTTAAAAAATAAAATAATTATTTTTTTTTCGACCTCGAGCTCGAGCTTTAAATTGTCAGCTCGTCGAGCTTGAGCTCGAGCTCGAGTTCGAGTTCAATAAAATTAAGTCAAGGCTCAACTCGATTAAACCAAAACTCGACTCGGCTCAACTCGTTTGCAGCCCTAGCCACAGCAGCAAAGCCTTAATAGCCGCATGCACTGCATGTGGCAAAGACAAAAAAAAATTAATTTTTTTAACGAAGCCCTAATATCTAATAACTAAACCCTAATTTATAAAGCCAAACTCTAATTCATAAACCCTAAATCCTAAACCCTAAACTCTAATTTATAAAGCCTAAATCACAATTCTTAAACCTTGAACCCTAATTTATAAGTCCTAAATCCTAATTTATCATCACTAAACCAAAAAATGGTCTTAGAATGTATATTGCTTTTAAGCAAAAATTACTTTAAAAATACGCTATTTTGTTCTCGCAATTAGTCGGTGATGAAATACCGGTGAATGGGTAAAAGCGAGGTTTAGATCACAAATTCAAATACAAATATTGATTTAAATTTATCAACATTGCATCGTAGGTATGATAGTTTTTTGCTTTTACGAATAATTTATGGTTCCATAAATAATGTAACATTAACCGTAAATGTCTAATGTAGCAAAGTAACTACCGGTTGTGAAATTTTGCAGGCTTAGAGCTGGTGGCCTAAGTTTTAAATCGTCAGCAGCATTTTTAAACCCCTCGTGTCACAAGGAAGTTCATGAAAAACAGTTGCACGGCATTTTTGGGTTGTAAACTACAAGGGATGCCTGGATAATGGTCTTTCTATTGTAAAATTTTCCAGAAGAAGTACGCACAATCATCAGCTACGCGTCTTTTTTTTATTTTCCTTTTTTTTTTCCTAAGGTCAGTTAAAACCATGTACAACTTTATATGCGCGGATGGTTGAAGAAAATCTGAAATTTCGATATCTGGGTTGAGAAAGATTATTCATATTTTGCGTGGTTGTGTCCTTGAGAGTTTTGACAAAACAAAGTACTTTTAGTGCTTGGCAGTCTTTGATTGTTTTATTGCTTGGAGCCGTTATTTCTGATTTTGTACGTGGTGTTACATACAGTTCTCACCTGATTTCTCTGGATATACTGTTCCAGATAGGTTAAGTAGTTCCTGCAGGAGGAGTCAATAGGCTGAGATATTGAATGGTTCAAAGAGTGATACAAGCCTGTAGGAGAAGCTAATAAACAGAAATGCTGGACCAACTGTTCAATGGTAATTAGTGTAGGGAAAAGGATATTTTCCTTGATTCTCTTTTATACTTTGGATGGCCTGTTGTAGGAGATTACTCACGAGGAATCGGCTTAGGGAATGGGGCTGTTTAACAGGGACAGTTGAATGTGTGCTGTGCAGTGAAAGTCGAGGAAATCGTCGATCATCTCTATTTCAATTGCTCTATAGCTGCTGCAGTTTGCAAAAAGCTCAGAAAATTGTGTTCTATTTATGGGGGTTAGACATCCTTGGAATCTGGAGATAACGTGGCTAAGTCAACACTAAAAATCCAATTCTTGGAGTGAATAAAGTTTATATTGCAGACCGGTGTTGGCTGTGACTATCTATCACCGATCGAAGCAAGAAACGGGATTCTCTTCCAACATTTTTCTGCATCTGCACATTCGAATATGATTGCTATTGTGGTTGATATCAGAATCATAGGAGCCACTTGGAAAACTGGGATTTCTAGCTAGAATGGGGGTATTCCTTTTACATGTTTTGGGAATCATTGATTGTTTTGTTTTGTATATAATAAATACAGGAAACTAGATACTTAGCTATAGTTACTTGGATTTAATTGCAGTTCAAATTTGGTCGGAACGCTAGCAATAAAAAGGGGTAAGAATGAACAATAATCAGGGAAACAAACTGATGTTTGTTCACCCTTCAGTTAAACGATTCTTTCGGGAAATGCGTTTGTGAATTAGTAGACAGACCATTTAACACGCCAGTGCACGGGAATTGTAATTTGTAAGAGGTTAGTGTTTTGGCAATCTAGAATCTCCATCATGAGCGCTCCAGGAATAATGCTGGTAAATCGTCTTCTCTGGGCGCTTAAAATCGGAATCCCCACACCTTGTTTATCCATTTCTAACTTGGACGCCACCAAGTCATCAACAACGGGCACCCTCCTCAGACAAGACCTGGATTAGAACTCAAGAAGTACGACTTTCATGGATGTTTACCAATTTTGACTACTACTAATTCTAGAAAATCCATCAAATAAAGCTTTTTACCTAGCAGCCTCATTTGGGATTGCATCCATGCTTTTACTCAGGTTGGTAGTAAAACTAGCTATCCAACAGAAAAGCATCAAGGACCAAGCAAAGCGAACTGAAAGGCAACGACAGCAGTCAAGATCTGGGTCTCATAGAGTTGATAAGAGGCCAGAGGAGCTAAGAGCCCAAGCCGTGCTTATATACGAGGTAAAATGACAATGCTACATTTTTCAAGTTATGGCGACCATGAAGTCAACAGCATACTGGAAAACTTGATTAATGGTGCCGGTCCGTTGAATTTTATCTTCACAGTCACAACCTTCCTTTTTCCTACTTCCTAGGCAATTAATTATCTCTTGTTTTGATAATTTCTCCTGATCTTCTTCTATGTGGTTGATTTTATAGTTGGCAGACATCGTCTGGAGAGCTGTTTCTATGTAGCGTCTTCCACAAAGATACAAGATTTGAAGCGAAAATAAGGAAACTCAGTTTATAAAATTTCAAAAACAATCATTAAATTTCAGTATCTCAACATATTAAAGAAACTAGAAGAATTCTCTTGATTTTGGAGTAAGTTTCTAAACTAATACTACCTCACAATCATTAAATATCTTAATATGCCAAGAAATTAAAGAAACCAAAAGAAATTCCCTTAATTTTGGAGCTGGTTTCTAAGTAATACTATCTATCTATACTATATACTATTTACCAGTTGATAGATGTTCTAGAAGATTTTCAATAACATGATATGTGTCATTTCCCAAGATTTTTGGAAATTTTTTTGTCATTATTCTTTTATAATTTCGATTAATGTTATCTAATGCTTGTGTCATTTCCTAAGATTTTTGGATTATTTATTCTTTAACAAGTTCGATCAATGTTATTTAATGCTTATCTATAGTTTAGTTCAAATGTTTAAATCCCACAGGAAAAAATTTGGTTAAACTAACTTATCAAAAATCCTATTATTTGTTACTAAGTAAAACTCACTTAACGTTTCCTATGGATAGTAACAACCATAGTTAAACTAACTTATGAATAAGCCTCCCTAATCTACTTATTTATCATCTAGATATTCTATAAGTTTTCTAATACTAACAGTTGGGTACGTGTTTTATAATTTTTTGAATGCTTCAAAAATTTTAACAATTATATATCAAAATTTTAATTTATATTTAGAAGCTTTATAATGAACTCAAGTTTATGTTACAATATGCACAATATTTAACAATTATATGTTTCATTATGATTTGTATTCACATATTCAAAATAACTGAAAAAAACCTCAATATTCTTTTTCATGTATTTTTTTTATATTCATCTTTTACAGGGTTGTTGGGTATTCGAATGCCTTTTAGAGATAAGATAGAGCGATTTTACCACTAAGTTTAGACAAGCCTCCATGTAGATTACTAGACCCGGCAATTATACCTAAAACCCAACAACCCATCCAACCCACCCCCTAATTTGAGAGGTTGGGTTGGGTAAGCTGGGTATTGGGTCAATTTTGGGTTGGGTAATAAAAGTCCACATATATTTTGGGCGGTTTGGGTATTTATGTTGAGCACACATTACCCAACTTTTGCTAATTGAATCAAGTGAATAATCAACACAATCTTAAAAGGGTGAATAGTTACTCAAAAGCATCAACTATAGACTTTTTTTATTATTTTTTGTTATAAACATCTTTTGTGATTATAACATAATTTGCCAAGCAAGTTAAAATTTTTTTACTTGGCATATTTTTAATTCCTTGGTTACATACTTAATAGGGTATTACCCTAGATATGGACAAGGCCAGATGTGTTAGAATAGTTGCCAGATTCATTGTGACAAAAAAATTAATTTGCATTTATGAGTTAGATATTTAGCTACAATGTGACTATTTTTCATTTATATTATCGTCATCAAAATGTTCAATATGAAGAATTTGAACATTATTAAATTTGAAATTAATTTTGAGACATTAATGTTAACTTATAACTACTCATGTCCTCGGTACTTAATAACTACCACATAACTCATACATGTTAAAAGATTTTTGTTTTTGTAAACCGCATTCTCAATATGTAAAAACTACATAAATCCAAAATTACCATACTTTCTTTGTGAAAATATTAGCATAAAATCTTTTTTTAGGCGGTTTGAGTATTTGTGTTGGACACCCACTTAAAATTTTTTTTTTGTATGTGAAAATATATTTGAGAGAGTTTATATATCAAAATCTATTAATTAATATATTGGGTTATATTTGGGTCATGGGTTTGAGATGACCCAATATGACCCAACCCAAAATTAACCCAATCTAAAGTTGGGCAGGTTGGGTGTAACCCGTTTAAATGAAAACCCAATATTAACCCGCCCAACCCGCCCAATTGCCAGGTATATAGATTACTATCAATGGGTGTTTTTTTTTAGTATTTTGTAAGTTTAAGAAAAACTTTCACATTTTTTTTTTCAAAGCTTATACGCATTTCAAAGAAACCATAACATCATAAGATGAAGGTATAATCATTAATATTTCAAATATGAATTTTGAAATGTTAATTATCTTTCATAATTTAGTTGTATCATAATCACTTAAGAGTATCATATACTGAAAATTTAAAATATGATGTTTCTTTTTCTTCTAGCAAATTTGTAAAGTTATATTTTTGTGCTATAATGATGGGTAGCGTTAACTTTGGTAGAAAAAGGTGAAGGATGATAATCTTTCTGTATCTCTTAATGGGTTTATTGAAATTAAGCAGAATTTGCAATGGATACTATCAAATTATGGGGCGAACAAGAACATTTTCTATTATGAAACTGTTAAATATTTATATAAGCATGTTATAAAAGCAGTCCAGTGAATAACAAAGAGGTTTTCAGATTTATAGTTCTTGCATTCAACTCTCCTTTTCCCTCTTTGGTTTTTAAACTTCTACTCCTCCCTAATCCCTGCTTTAAAAAATTTTAAAAATATTTATAATCACAATAGTAGAAGGATTTGAAGTTATGTTTTTTTTTTTTAACAAAACGATAAGATTTTTCCAGTCACTAAAAAGAATTTACATGTGCGAGCAAAGGCTCGAAAAGCTTTACAACTAGTGCTCAATTACACTGAAGAAAATACCATTCCTCATCCAAAAGAATGCCAAAGGCATAAGAACTTAATCTTTTACAATTTGTCATATTTTCTACACTAACCAGCTCAAAAGAGCACATGCGAAACATCTTCTGCAATTCAGTAATGTCATCAATCAGAGTTGCTAAACGGCTTTCTGAGGAGCTCTGATGCCTTAACTGTCTCAGTAATTCCTTGTTGTGGGATAGTATTTTGATCATGTCCCAATGTTGCTCCATAGCTTTACTTAAGACCAGTTTAACTGCTACCGCATCATCAAGGATCTTAGTTCCTAGTGTTCTCTCTTTCAGCGCCCATTCTGCAATCCTTGTATGCTGATATGTCCTAGCTATAGCTCCAACTCCAAGTGAACGCTGTCTTTGTTGACTTGTTGTGTTCACTTCCAGTATTATGATCCCCTCATCTTCGTGCTCCTGATGATGTACTGTTTGGTTGAAAATTGTTTCTCCTGTGCTCATTCTGTTCTTAGTTTTTCCTAGCTCCTCTTGTTCCAACCAGTCCTTCTGAACCTTGTTCATTGTCTTCACTAGTGGACATCTGCTTTGATTTTCGAAGTCCTTCTTGTTTCTTTCTTTCCACACTTGCCACAAAATGTTTACAGTCAGTCCAATATGCTGTGCCCTTTCTGGTCTTGTCTTTACCTCTGATATTTTGCTTCACCATCGTTTGAAATCTCCTTGTTGATCTCTAGCTCCATCCCATTATATAGGGGCCACCTTCCATATATCCAAGGTATTTGGGCAGTTTAGGAATAAATGTTCCACTATTTCCTGGCTCTCCCCATAAGCTCTACATACTAGATCTCTCATTCCTGTCCTTCTGAATATTGCTTCTCTGACTGGCAATGCCCCTTTGATGCACTTCCATATAAACAGCTTAATCTTATGTTTTATATTGAGCTTCCAAAGAGTATTTCACATCTGCTTTAGCTGTTGACATCCTTCCATTATGCTTGGACCAGCTTCTCCTGATTTTGCCTTCTCAGTACTGTCACTTTCTTCCATCAGAAGTTTGTACCCAGAACTTACAGGATAACAACCTCCTGCATTGTGTTGCCAAAAATAGCTATCCTCCCTGCCTGTTAAGCTGATAGGGATACTCAAAATCCTCCCTGCATCACTTTGGTTAAAAGTTTTAAAAATGGTGTTTCTGTCCCATCTTTTATGAATGATAAGCTCGTGCACCATCTTCAGTGAACTGTTAAGGGGTCTTGGGGTAGAAGGCTTACCAGAAGATGATCCTGGAATCCATTTATGCTCCCAGATGTTTGTACTTCTCCCATTGCCAATCCTCCTGATCACACCTTTTTCAACTAAGTTTCTGACTCCTAATAGACCTTGCCAAATCCAAGAGGCATTGTTTTGAGGCTTGCACTTGAATATGGAATCCTTAGGGAAGTACTTAGCTCTCAATACTTTACTAATAAGTATCTGCTTCCCCAACAAGGCCTTATTAAATGCTTCTATATCCTTGAATCCCAAACCACCTTCAGATCTTTTCAGTGCCATTTTTTTCCATGACAGCCAATGCATCTTGTTTTTTCCATCTGTCTTTCCCCACCAGTAGTTAGCCATAGATACAGTAGTTAGCCATTTGAAGTTATGTATATTGTCAAATTGTTATAATAAAATAATCTGACTTAATATTTCAAATATTCATCTTTTTCTTAACCTCTTATTTTTTGAATTAAAAAATAATTAAAACAAATTTACATTAGATACCTTTTATAGGGAGTTTTAAAAAATTACAATAAGTTTGATTTTTATTGTGATTTCAACAAATTTGATCAAGTGAGTCCATGTGTTTAAATCTAAGAATGAAGGAAGTAAGCATATTTTCAAATATATATATATATATACAAGGAGCCTAAAAAAAGTCATAGCTACAGTTATTGAAAACAATGTTAAAACTTAAATATTAGAGAAAAATATGCCTATATCTTTCAAGCATAATCACAAATTTTGATAAGAATTAATATTTATACAGTTGTACAAAAATTTCATGCGCTCTAAATTTTTGGCATTTTCATTGTAAGGATTAGATAATTTTTTTAA